AAACGTCAGCTCTACTCATATCATCGTGGGAAAATTCTACTACCAGTCCTTCATCACCTTAAACGAAATTAGGTGAATACATGATTTACTGGTAGTCTCGAAACTCTACTTAAATGCGTAAAATATACTAAACCAAGATAAAAGGTGGCCTGCTGCAACTCTAGTCGCTTTCTCTATACGTCTAACCTAACGAGCTTAATAAGGTTTATTGAAAACATTGCAAAGCTAAAAAAAATTTAAAAAAAATTGGGTATAAGAATTAGGGCAAGGAAATGATACATTTAATGGAGTGAAAGAGAAGGAAAAAAGTTGCCAAAATCTGTCCAAAACTTGACTTGACATTTCTCCGGAGGCAGTCGTACAAAGGGTCTTAATTCCGACTTTTCAAATAGTAAGGACTTTAAGGGGGAAATTTTGGCAGAATTGATAATTTCAACAGAAGATACTAGAGGTGGCATTGAATTACAAGTAATCCCTTCAATTGATGGTATAGTTTGAAACTCTACTTACATACGAAAAATATTATAAAGAAGCTTAAGAGGAACGGCCAATTAGTGTTGGGGCAGAAAAATGAGGAGCAGTAGTAATCAAGATAGGATTATGTAGAAAAAATGTCAAAAGGGATTATACGATGAAAGAAAATGCATAACTATAATTAGGGACCCGACAGAACGCCCTAAGGTCAGACTTAAGGATTTTCTGCAACAATGTGTAAACAGTAGAGAACTGAAAGAGTGGAAAATGAATGCACATCTCCAGTGAAATGCTAGACTCCAAAAGGCGTATGATCTGCTCATAATTCATAAGGAAGATATCCCACTTAGGATATTGCAAATAATAGAGGTAGTGTGATGCAAAAAACACCACGATTTATATGTAGGCAGTTAAAGCAGATCTCCTAAACTTGGAAGTTTGCGATAAGGAATTCCTACGACTATGAAGTTAGTTTATGATAATACGATATGAAGAGTAGATTTGCTAATACGTTTAGACGTAGTATTTATGTACACCAACATTCTAGTAAACGAGTTAAAGAAGGCCTTATAATTACCTCTAGATCAACATCCAGAAATTATAACAGGTAAAAAGTTTGGCAAAGATTTAATCATTAGAGTAGTCAATTTGCAATGGATAACAAATATTTTGCCTTCACTGGTAAGTTGTATGAGCAAACATTGGGCTTGACAATGGGATCTTGTTTAGCCCCTATCTTAGCTACTAACTACATGGCCCAATTAGAAGTTCGTATGTTTCAAGAGGCACTCTAAGTCCCCAGGTTATTAGTTCGTTGCATGGATGATTATTTTGCTATTTGGGAACATGTAAACACTCACAAAAAAAGATAGTTTGAGTGAATTAATTGGGCTGATAAATAGAATAGATACCAATACTAAATTTAGTATGAAGTTATAAAATGAAAATAAATTGCTCTTTTTAGAACAAAGAGGGTTGTAAGTTGGACATAGACTATTATATGAAACTCACAAGTGCGGATTTCCCTATTAATTTCTTAATCAATCATACAGATAAGGTTAAAGTAGGAGTGATGAAATCAGTGATACTAGGTAGTCAGAGTCTAGCAGACGTAAGCCACAGGGACTGAAAGATTGTTAGATTGAGGCATATATTGTTTCAAAGCAATTAGGCATTAGGATTAGTGGATAATTAGATTTCCAGTGTCAGTAACAAGATGAAGGGAGTTTGCTATATGGGATGGGATAGACAATTGAACCACTCTGCTCGGGCATTGATTTTGCCTTCCTGCCAACTTGCGAAAAAGTTGAGCGATCTATTGAGAAAGTGGAACACCAGAACAACAAATAAAGAAAAATTAATATTTTCTTAGTAGTTCCTTCGTTTAGAGGATTTTCGGGCCCTCTATCGAGATTAGGCTGCTGCAAGGTTTTGTGCTCATGTGGTAAGTTCTATGTGAAGAAGACCTGCGACTCATTCGGAAGAGATTATGCGAGCACAAAACCGCTTTTGAAGGTCTATGGATCAAAAAATCTGAGCTAGCTGAGCACATGGCTAATACAAGACACTCAATAGACTGGTCTAAAACACAGCATTTTGCGGGTTACGGGGAATTTACGTCAAAGCGTAAGATTAGGCAATCTATAGAAATAAAGAAAACAGCCAACGTCCTAAATTGGAAAAACGAGTGTAGAAAACTGAGTAAGAACTATTTGTGGCTGTTGGCTAGGCTTATGGAGAGAAGAAGAGAGGGAGTGCAGGAAGAGCCAGTGAACAAGATAAGGGGGCTGGATTAGCCTCGAGTCTAGCTAGGACTATCAGACTTACCATGACATGAACATAACATACACGCAATAGACAATAGCACAAACCCATACATGATTCAACCTTAGAGGATCGTACACTAGTTTATTTGTGTAAGAAAACAGTTGCCAACGAACGCACTTCCGGTTCATGTAGTAACTCCACTCATCTTCAAGCATGTAGAGTAAAGTTGAATTAGCCAACCAAATCAGGGGATGCCTGATTAAGATCGCGATGTTGGTGTGTAAAAAAGCGACTATGGTTGCAGCCGGGCACCTTTTCTTTTGGTTTAGTATATTTTTGCTCTATTTTGTAAAGTATGGATTCTTGTTCATATATCTGTCATGGCGGCATAGACGAAAGCTTATTACAGGTAGAAGGTGAGCCAAGGACTTCTTCGCACAATTTAACAGTCTTCTCTACGCGACAATTCTCCTTCGTTTTCCTGAAAGACAGCATCACTAATTCCTTCCAACCAACTTTTCCTTTGAGGTGGAAAATCATGTCACAATAGTTGTCATATACCCAGTGTTAGCGATCAACGTACTTCGTGCTACGCAGATAGATCTAAGAGATAAGTCACTCAACTTGTGAAAAAAGCATTGAGAGAAATTAGGATATAAAATGAAGATTCAGGATATAATAACGAAATAAAGGATTCGAGCTTAATTTGAAATAATTTAAAGTTACATCAATGGACTTTATAAAGGCATAAAGAAGTTCAGAAAAGATGCAAATTTAAAGTATTATCCCTATAATGTATGTAGAGCGCGCACTACTAGGAATAAGTATGGTCAAGGTTCGATCATGAGGAATGATAAT